AAAAAAAAAAAAAAAAGAACAAAAAAAACATACCAACAAAAGAAAACCAAATATTACCGAAATTATTTAAAATCAAACAGAAACAATTTTTTTGATTTAAACAAGCTTTTTATACGCCTCATAACTTAAGTTCCCATGAAATCAGATTTATCGAAAAGCAGGCTCATATTAATGAACCAAAGAATAAACAGAAGTAAAAAATGCTAAAATGCACAAATATTATTCCATAAAACGAAGGCTCTCACGAGACCAAAAATTTGAGGGGAAAAACCGATTCACTGACCCTACGTATATTCCAGCAACACAAAAAAAAAATAAAATACATCAATGGCAGTCATATACGCTAAACAGCTTCTGGTACATACTTATTTCATAAAGAAAACAAAAATCTATCCCATCTTCAGTAACTTAAATGTAGACGGATAGCAAGGCTTTGTATTCTTAAGAACAACGTTGCAGCTTCAAAAACAGCTAAAAGGCGAGACCAAAATAAAGAAGGTATCGACTTTGATCATTTCAAGTCCATAACGATCCTGTACGCATGCGTGTTGTTCCAATCAAATTTAGCACCTGTAACCGGCAACTGACGCCGAAGAGCTTTAAACGTAGTCGCGGACATCTGCTGATAATTTTCTTGAACTGCATTCTAAAAGCGTTTCTTATAAAGCAACATTGAAAACCACTTCCGAAAACAACAGATTAAGACAGAATTTTCCAGACGGAATAGCAAGCGCATTAACAAACAAAATTTTCCACGCATTTTAAAGATTAGTAATTAAAAAAAATATTACCTAGTATCTGACTACGAGTTGACCATTTTATACCAAAAAAGTTTCTCATTATATTTGTAACCTCCAACAAAATAAGTAAAAATCAAAAAATATGGTGATATTTCAATTCACTGATACTGATAAAGCGGTAGGATTACACAGAAACAGCCGATAACGAAAAAAGTCATTAAAACATGTGAAAAAGGAAATTCCTAAATAACGTTGTAAAAGAGTATTAAATCTTTTGAAATGTAACCAATTTAAATAGCAAACACTGACTACGCTATAACTTGACCTAATAGCAGTAAATTCAAAAAATAAATTGGTGGTTAATATCTCTAAAATAGAATTTCAGCTCAAAAAACGCATTATCTGTTCCAGACAGTTACTTAATATAAAAAGTGATTCTTTAATAAAAATATTAAAAAAAAACCAATATTTCGCAAAAAAGACGTTGATTTGAACTCGCGTATTTCTGGGAAACCGAAGTTACTAAAAAGGAGCACGAACGGTGCAGTATTAATCATAAATAAAATTATGCCAAGGAAATTTGTCAAAATGAGTTTTCTTAGCAGTGTGGAGGTTTTCATAAATCTTAGTAAAAGAAGTTAATGTCCCTAAATCATTTTCCGAAACCATAATGTTCATACATATACAACCTAAAACTAAAAAGTCAAAAAGCAATGACAACAAGTTCATCCCTTTGAGTTCAGTAATCCATCTACCATGCAAAATAACTGCGAGAAAGCATCAGACACGATCTAGAAGGAAAAACCCCACCTATAAGTATATTAATGTTTTATAGGCAGGTCCATACCTGGTAGGCAGATTCTTCTTCCAAGATGACTTTGAAAATTTCCTTCGCTGTTTGGGCCGGATCTGCCTGCAGGACCAGTAAATATGATTAATTGAGAACTTATGCTGCACATTAAGTTTAATTAATTAACCAATCACATTTAAAATTGACTTTGAAACCATAGAAAATTCAGACCAGTCTAAAAAATGATGTTTTAAAAAATTCAATACCCTAAACCTCTTAAAGTAAAACGGTATGCTCCTAAAAAATTATCATAAGATGTATAAAAAGATAAAGAAACAAACCGAAACTTGAACTTTGACGTTAACTTCCTTAGTTGAAACTAATTGTACATTCCCATCTTCATAATAATGAACCTGAGCCTTTATGGTACCTTTCAAGTCTTGACTACCAGACTTACCTTCTCCAACAGGCAAAACATACTGCGAACGCCACCGTCCATTCCTGACCAATTATTTACTTATTAACAAAAAGAAAACTTAAGAACTTCGTGTATTCGCCTTTCATAGCAAATTAAAATACTGACCAAAAATTCTTCGGCTGAAAGCGGTGACTTTCTATACATAAAGTTATGATACCGTTATTCACAAAAACAGCAGCTATGCCAGTATCCAAATAATGACTGTTAATATATTTGTCGGCTTCCTAAAAGTTTAAGGAAGAAATCAAACAGTTTTTTTTGCGTCAGGAAAATAACAAAATTCGATTTCTCATAAAGTCAAATAAATGCGAAAAGGCTGCAGTTTCCCATGCAACAGCATGCGCAGCACAAAATTCAAAACTTTTTCTCTCAATAAATAAACGTAACAAAAATATAGAGTAAAACTGACCTCCTGCATAGCCTTACGCCATGAATCATTATCATCCTCTAATGCTTCCTCCAAACGCATATCGGTGGCTTCTTTGCGAAGATGGTCATATTTGAAAGAATTTTTAGACCTTGGGTCAAAAAATCTTCCTTCCGCCAATTCATTAAAATTGGTAATCAGCGACTAAAAGGATAAAAGCTATTGACTTAGGAGTGCCTAAAGGGTTACTATGCCGGAGGTAATTGCTTACAACATATCAGAATTATAGAAACCTTCAAAGCGTTGGAAAGTATTTTATTTAAAAAAAAAAAAGGGTAAAGACCTGCTTCTCGACACCTTCCAATTTTACCGGAACAAACTGTTCCTTATTGTACTCAGCAAAAGCTGTTGCACATCCTTCTTTCAATAAAGAATCATTATTAAGAAGCATGCGCACGTCATTAAACACCTGTAAAAAAGAAAATAATAATTAAATAGACTTATATAAAGTCAATATAGGAAGAATTAAATTCAAATTAAACTTACTAATTTTCAAGGAAACAAATAAAACTGTTCTTAAACAACAACAGCAACAACGATAAGAGTGAAAAGAAAAACGATAAATATATTAAAAAGTTATAAAGTTGAAAAGGCTTAAACTTTGCGAACCTCATTAAATTCCCCTGGAGGAGCATGCTTTAAGAAGTTTGAAACAATACGAACTTTGTCAACTTCGATGACCTGCGCTTCCTCCGTCGCCATTCAAAGCTAAAAATAAACACTGATACAAAATAATTAATTTCAATTTAATAAAAACTGTTGGTCACTGTCATCCATCCACTCCACAGTACTCCTTAACAATGACAAATATGAAGAAATGTGGAAATTTTAAAAGAGAAACAGTTAATTCTGTTTGCAAAAATCCTAAAACTAGAAAACCAACACTATTAAAGTAAACTAATTATGAGAGCAGATAAAATCGATGAATGAGCAGCTTTTGCTATGAAAAATCAGCAGAACGTTATGTTCAGTACATTTTTGATGACCGCCTTTTCAAGGCTGCTTCTCAACAAATAATCAACATGCAGTTACTCAAAACAGTCATTCTCAAACAAAGGTTGACCGAAAAAAAAAGTTAAATAAATCTGATAAAAATCACCAGTATGCAACGATTTGTCAAAAGGAAAAAAGGAGAAAAAACAATGTCAGAATATACTTGTAAAACGAACTTTGTTTATGTATCTGTATATAATAAATAAAACAATTTTTAATCAACTGTCCTAAACAATCAAAATACACAGACTTCCACTATTAATGGCCACTTTAGCCGTTATATTAACCAGTAATTAAAAAAAAAAACTTTTTCTAAGCCTCATATCTCCCATAACATATGAGCAACAGATGTAAGAATTACGTGATTGAGTTTTGCACTAAAAAAAAAGGAACGAAAAACTTCTATTCATCTTAAATAGAGGAAAAAAACTTCAGCTGCTAAACTAAATAACAATAATAATTTTCAAAAGAAAAAAAATTTTTTTTTTTTAGAAATACAACTACAATGACTAATCAGCTATATTAAGAACACAACAAAAAAACGTTAGTCTTTTTTCTCTTCAAATTTGCTTCTTTTAATTCCACCATCCTACCAGCAAAAATAAACGGAAATACTGACAACGAAATCAACAGACACATTAGTAACTAAAATAAAATAATTGCTTTATTTAGATAAGAATTAACGGTGAAAAAAAAAAAAGAAGTTCCTCCAACAGCAACAGTAATAGCAACAACAACAACAACAAAGAAATGAAAAAAGATGAAAAATAAAAGATATGAAAAAAGCTAACAAAATAAAGGATGCTTAGACTGCTGTGATGACTGTTGGCTTCTGATGAAAAATCTGCAAACAACTGAGAACGTATACAAAAGATAAAAATTATTCAACAAAAATGGGGCCACAGAATAAAACATTTTTGCCACAACACACTGCAACAGCCCCACTGCAGAACTCCCAGCGATGATGCGTAATTGTTTAGAAAAAAAAAAAAAAAAGGCTTTTTTTCTACACCTGGCATTATGCCAGCACTGAAATTTTTCTATCTTTGTACAAACCAATAGAGTTCAATAGGATTATTCCGTCCGTATGCATAGTATCCAATCCATATGTTATTATGTACATCATTCGTACAAATAGGTGTTCACCAAATATTTGGTTTCGGAAGTAATAATTGTTTGACATTTGCCAACAGTTAAAAATTTTCATTTCTATTTTTTATTTAGCGCTAAATGGTGGAAAAAAGAAAAACTACTGACAACAAATGATACGTAAGAATTTAATTATAACAAGAGGGAAAACAAGTAGTTTAAATAATCGAACGTTGATTTAATAGAAATATAATAACTGATTTGAACAATCATATAAGTGTGACAACTATATGCCAGAAAATTAATGCCCATCCAGTTGTTGTTGCATGAAAGTTAACACTGCATCAAAATTAGAATACTACTTCTGTTAATAAGTAGTCGATGATTGCGTACAATATTTGCGCCACTGGCTAATTACATCTGAAGCTTATTCAGCGGTATTTTTTTCAGAATGTCTTAATACATTTTTCAGCAGAAGTAATTGCTTTCTGAAAAATATAAGTAAAATTTCTTTATTTATTTTCTTTTTCCAAACTTCATCTGAGTATATTATACATGTACCCACCAATGAGGGTTTTATAGGTGAAAGATGTACAATATATATCTGTAAGACTTACAAAAAAGATCTTTCGGAAAACATTTATCAGTAGTCAAAAATCCTACGAGATTCAATAGAAAGGATCTTAAATACATCGCCATTATCGACCGCAATTAATAAGCGTATTCAAAAAATACAAAACTCTTAGATTAAGTTTCTAAATTCAACGATAAAACAGGGAATCGATAGAAAGAATTGGGCAAACGACAATAAAAGGTGAAGATCTTTATGTGTACACTCGGTGGAAGGGGAAAATAGTGCTGTAATAGCGAACGTAGATTTAAGCGCTTTGTTCTTCTTGTTGTCGTTTTTGCTTTGTTATCTGCTGAAGGCAACGGTCGGCAACATATATCGCCCATTGAAGTGATCTTTGTACAAAATGGTTGCAGCAATTTAGCCAAAAAGCTGTTGTTTTGCTTGGACACTGAGCTACGTCATTGGTAAGCTGCTCTGTTTACTGGTGCTATTATTGTCTGTAATTTCGCTTTCCGCTGTATGGACTGAAGAGATTTTCAGATACAGCTTTGGCACCTTCTTCAGTATTAATGGACGCCGCTGTTTCTGACCTCAAGTGCCATGCAAATTAGTCGTTACTGCTGTTTTATTGCCGTTCTCAATACCTTTTTCATCCTGATTTTGATGACTTCAAGTTGAACACTTTTTTCATCCTGAACTTTCGCAAATGTTAAGAAAACAAAGTTTTTTCTGTGTAACGGTGAACACGTCTTATAAATTCTCTTTATTCATTAATTCTTAATCTTATTAAAATTGTATCACTGATGCGTATATGGATAATTGAGGAGGACAGGTGGCATCTTTTCTTTCACTCGAAATTGGTTATTAAGATTTGGAGTTTTTCGGTGTTGCTTTTTGCCACGGAAAGGATTTTTTCGCTACGTTGATAGGATTCAGTTTTGGAGATTTCGAGTAAAACTCTTTGAAACTTGAGTTCGACTGTAAGACGAAAACTGAAACAACCGAAATTAATGAACGACGTAGAAGAACTTGATCTCTACGAGATTAAAAAAGGTTTTGGGGGTAAGATACGTTATTCAGGAACGAATTTGGTTGTCGGGCTGTATTTTTTTTAGATTGAAGTGTTGAACTAAAATGTGGCGTCAGTTGTTGCTTCATTCTTTTTCATATCTTCTTTGGTTACTAATGTTTATAACTTATAAAATTGGGTAAGGAAAAATTTATTGGGTTTTTATTCATTATTAGTCGAAAACAGTTTACATTAGGCAAAATTGTTTACAAATTGAAGTGAAAATCACATCCTTTGTCAATAAATTGTAAACATTTCGCACTTGCTCCGCTGAATTATAAAACAAATTTGCATTATTGGAATTTGAACCTTTGTCGTTCAAATTGGGCATATTTTTATTTTCTTTATTTTCAGTTATTTATTTATTTTTAAAAAATTTTGTAGTTCATGTAATGGTTCTTTCCTTGGTGGTGTCCGTAACTGGTCGTTGGGATATTTATGAAGCGTGCATATGAAGCTCAAAGTTGTGAAGTTTTTTTTGCCAAAAAAAATTTGCCAATTTCAGCTTTTCAGTTTGACGTGATGGTATCATTGTTTAGGAACATTCGTTTCTTTACTTCGACAGCTTCAAAATTAACCAGCACTCTCAAGTATTTATTATGCTTCTTTTGAATAGTAGTTTAGAGTAGCACTGATTTTACTCTTATCAAAATGCGGGAAATAATGTGATCATTCCAAACATTTTGGAATGTAATGTAAATTTTTGTTTAATTAAGGATGCTAGATGTAATACTGTTAAAGGAACAGAAATTTTATAAAGTAAATTAATTTTTGGTAACGTATTTGTTACCAGTCCCTTAATATTTTGTCTCTTTAATTTCTACTGCTCCCTGTTAGAAACAGAAACTCCGTTTCAATCTTGCGGATGATTGCTAATTTCGAAGGGCTGCTCACAGTTTAATTTCAAATAAATCTATTTAATCTTTTTTTGGCTTAAATAAATTGCTTTCAGTCAGGCTGGTAAAAAGGCATCCGGTCAAGTCCTCCCAGTTGGATTTCGCAAAGTGTCTCCATTTGGGTGCTATATCAAGGAAAATTTTACCAAAAACAAAGGCGAATCCGCTTCTGCAACATTTGCAAAGCTCAGCAAAGAATGGAAAACTTTATCTAGCGAAAACAAGAAAGTGCTGTCTTGAAGATTCATCTATTTCCAAATCCAAAGTTTTCAAAGCAGTTCGAATTTTTTAAACTTGACAACTTTTAAATTGGTTGTTTATTTTCAGAAGTACGAAGAGTTGTCAGAAAAAAGTTTGAAAGAAAGGGCAGCAAAATTTGCAGCTTTGAGTTTCGAAGAACAGCAAAAGGCTCTGGAAGAAAGCAAAAAAAATTTTGAACATCGGAAAGAAAAAAAGGAGAAAAAGTTGAGGAGGGTAAGCTGGTAAATTTTCAGAAAATATTGAGCTTCTTTTTCGTTCTCATCTAATACTTTGCCAAAAAATCTAAACTCGTTTGACTCCAAGTCATCTCGACCGGGTGGTTATTGAACTCGGAAAGCGGACCCATTTTTTGTTCTTAGATAGAAGTAATGACCGTATTTGGACGAAGATTTTAAACATTTTCCCGGAAGGATTCATATATTTGCCTACTCATTCTCAATACCGAACCTTTTGCTATAGTCATTATAAATATTTTATCAACTGTACAACTGGAAGGTGGATATATGTCAACAGTAATTTGGTGGACTAACGTTAGGGTAGCAAAGACGTTACTACTCATCTCATTAGTATGACGAGTGTTGCTTGTATCAAGTAGGCGAGGAGAATTTTTTGCCTTTTCTTTCACCTACAGTAAATTCGTGGAATGATCTAAGCAGCGCTTTGTAATTATTTCGGTGTTGAACTAAATTTTTGCTGTAGCGGTTACAGTAACTTAAATTGTGGCTTACGTTGGTGGTGTCATGACAAGTAATGGAAGGCACTTAACTGAA